GGCAGGATTCCCCTGGTCCCAGTCGATCTGTAAAGCTTTTACATATCACAGCGAGGTCTTAGTCACAGATTATCAGCGGTTTAGCTCCTTCACCCCAGCATCACCACTTGAGGAACCAGGAAACCCAAGAAACATGAGACCGGGCCCTTTACAACTCTGCAGCGGAGGGGACCACAGGATTCCACCCACAACCAACAGACTCGCTCCTCTTCAGTGATGAAATAAACCACAAAATAAATTCAGCTCAAGAATGAGAACATGCATGCCTGTCCTGGCCACCAGCAGAAGATCCAGTATCTCCTCTGCTTCCAGGCAGGAGAACCAGCTGAGCAGCAACAGATCCCACCTGTTCTACAGCAGAAAACCCACAATGCCACCCAGGCCAGAGGTTCCTCCCAGTAATAATGGGCCAGAGGCGAGGCCAAGGCACATGCTGCCAGGCACAGGAAGCATCTCCCCAGCTCCTGCGGCCCCCGGGAATGCTGACTGAACAGCCACACCTTGGATTTCATTTCCAGCAGGGATGAGTCGGAGCCCTCCCATCCCAGCAGCACATGCAGCTACCCCAGCACAGGGTTAGGAGGCAGGCAGCCCACATCGCTTTTGAGCCTCAGAATGGGTTTGTGCCCCAGCTGTAGTGGTTCAGGGGAAGCTGGACCTGTTACTACAGCACTTGCCCTGATGAAGAGCAACTCATCTGGCACTGCCAAGAACAGAGCTCCCAAAGCTTCACACAGGCCACAAGATGCTCCTCACTGGAGCGCTGCCTTCAGGCAGCTCCACTTCTCTGAACTCAGGGTTGTTGTAAGCAACGGATTTCAGGGCAGCAAGTGGGAAACGAGCATCTTCTACTTTAAAGCCGGTGGAACAACCATTACTTGGTTGATACAGAGGGCAGGTGGTCTCCAGCCAAAACCTGCTGAGCACACAGCATGGGACAAGGACAAATGGAGCCAGCACACTGTCTGCAGACAGCTGGGTCTTTTATTAAGTACTTAAGGTGCTACAAAATACTTAAGGAGCCTTCATATGGCAACTTCTTTTCTGCAGCCTTAGCTCTGTTGAAAGAAGCAAATACAGCTCATTAGTAGAGAGCCTTGTAGGAAATAGTCTAATAAGCAGGTTCAGAGAGGGATACTTACAGCTGGGCACTCAATTGCACCATTATTGATGTCATCAATGATATCATGTGGGTGCCTGCCATCGATGCTGCAGCCCACAGACTGGGCAGTTCCAAGAATCTCCTTGATTGTCCCTGCAGTGGGAGGACACAGCCTGTCAGCGCTTCACCGCAGGAAAAGCTGCAGAACGTCCCGAGAACTCATCCCCTCGCACCCCCCGTCTCCCTCCCTCCCTCTGCGGTTTGCAGGCTGCAGCCACAGGGTTCACCAGGGGACAGCAAGCCCCTTCAGCCAGGCCTAGCGTACTGGTTTCCAGGAACACACCAGTATACCCCATGGACCTCCTACCATCCTGCACTACCGTCACCAGGAGGGGTGCGGCCGGCTGCCCCCACCAGGCTCCTCCTGTGGTGCTCAGTGCCCGGGCAGCCAAGCGGCCCAGGGAGCTCCACCACCACCCTGCAGCCTCAGGGCCTCCCGGCAGCCAGCCCAGCACCTGGCTC